ATTTGAAAGAAAAGAAAGTTAAAAATGAAATTTTTAAAAAGGTTAGAAATACATTATGTCAGAATATTAAAAACAAAATTTTTTAAAATCAGATAAGAGATTGGAGGTGTAAGATGAAACACTATGAGATCTAACACTCTACTTTGAGATTCTATGAGCCCATGTAAATTAGCCTTTTTCAAATATTTATAAATAATGATCATAACAGGGTACGGTAGGTGGAAGTTTGATAATTTTTGTTTATTTATTTTTGAAGTGAAATTTTATTATAATTTTTAAATTTAATAGTTATGAAAATTTTGTTTAATTTTTATTTACATGGTAGAATAAACATATTTATACTCTTATCTCTATCTTTCTTTTATTGTTGTAAATATTAATTAAGTAAGTTTTAAAATAAAAATTATAATAAAAAATTATTATTATATATATATATATATTTAATATTAAAATTATATATATATATTTTTTCTAATAAAATATCAAGATAAAACATTATAATCAAATAAAGATAGTGAATTAGAAGAAATAAAAATATTAAATATATAATTACAAAACTAAATATTATATACAATTTAATATAAAATTTGTAAATCACCTAATAAAATTAGGATAAATACAAGGACAAAAACAATTATTCTAACTTTTTACAGTAATATAAAAAAATATCAGAATATTTATTTTAATATTCATTTTATTTGTTGACAAGTGTTCAAATATTTCATTTATTTAGTCATTTGATATTTAAAATTTTTTATTTATATTTATTTTTCCGTTACATGAAATTATTTTACTCTTTTATACATTTATTTTATTTTTTATTTATATTTATTTTGCTGTCAATGCATATAACTTATTTTTATCTTTTTATTCATTTATTTTATTTTTAAACTAATTGTATAATTATGTTTATTTTTTGCTGTCACATATGTATATAATTATTTTATTAATCAAATATTTATTATTTATTCTATAAAAATTACACTAGTATTTATTATTTATTATAATATAATAAAATATAATACCATTTTATCCATATTTATTTCAAATGTTTTTAATAAAAAAGTTACACTACTTGATATTATGATTTTTTTCTACTTAATAATCCATTTCAAGTGTTTGAAAAATATATTCGTAATAAAAAAGCATACTTCTTAATATTAAAAAAATTATTTTACATTTTTTTAATTCGTTTTCTTTAACTTCAAAATGTAATTGTTTATAATTTTCGTAAGACCAAAATAAAAAGGTAAAATCTAATAAACTAATTATTTAAATATATCACTATTTATATTGCCTTTAGAAGCGTGTAAAAACATACATTAGAACAACATTCATTATATTAGTGTACAAACACACGCTAAATGAATATAAAATAATAGACAAATTTAACAATACAAATTGGATAATTTTGTCTATACATTTATTAGAAATGAGTATAACAAAATATTACACAAGTTTAATAATATACATTAGACTAATCTATTTATATATTGATTAGATGAGTATAGCAAAAAATATTAGATGAATAGTTTCATTTATTAATTAAACGAATATAACAAAAGAATATTAAATGAGTCTTATAATACACACTATATCAATATTTATATATTGATTAAATTACCATAGTAAAAAAACATTAGAAAAGTCTAACAATATACATTAAGCGAAATTATTCATATACTAATTAAACGAGTATATCAAAAAAATTATATGAGTCATTTCATCCGTTGATTAAACAAATATAACAAAAAAAAAAACAAATGGATCTATCGATGTACTTGTTAAAGAAGTCTAACAATACAAATCAAACGAACTTCTCCACATAATCAATAAACAAGTATAACAAAAACCATTAAACGAATTTAAAGAATACTCATTGGAGGAATATATTCAAACACTCACTGGACAAGTCTACCAATAACATACACTTATAAGATTACCTTATCAATATAATCATATAAATCTATCTATATACAAATTAGACAAGTTTATAAATATAATACAAGTTTCTCTAGGTAGTACACTTTAGACAAGTTTCAACAAACACCGATTAAACAACTTTGTCGATACCCTAATTAAACGAGTCTAGTACATATTATTAAATGATTCATTCTATATTGATTATATGAGTTTAAAAACACTCATTAGATAAATTTATTCATACATTAAACGAGTCTATCAATAACCAATATTCTGTCACACACACCTCAAAATATAATAATAAACTTAAAAATATTTTTTTTCTCACCTCTAAACATCTTTTAATATAATATATATTTACACAAACATTAACTTTCTAATGATTAATTTTTCACTTTGAATCTATTTGAAATTTAATTATAAACTTAAAAATATATTTTTTTCTCAACCTTTAAACATATTTTAATATAATATATATTTGCTAATATTAAAAATACACATAAGTTTGCACATTATCCACAACACAAGCTTTATTTTTTATTCTAATTAGAACATGTAAAGTCAAATTTGTAAGCGAGACCAAATTCTATCCTTTAAAAGACAACTTTCCCGAAAAATTTCCCATGATTCAACCTAACAAAAATTTCTCCCTTTCATGACATCAACTGTTCATGGAGATGAATCTTGTAATTACGGATCCTTGTCTCAATTATTTCCATGATTAAGATTTCATGTTTAAACTTCGCTCTCAAGAGAACCACGAGTAAATAAGAAGAATATTGTATTATGGAAAAAAAACCTAAAATTTATTGTCTTGCAATTTTATATCGAAGTAATGTGTTAATTATAAGTAATTTTTTTTAACTAAATCTATACCCAGATGATTTTTTTTTTGTGTTCATATTATTTTCAAACTGACCTTTTAAATGATTTTTTAAATTAAAGTAATTATTTTATTAATTTTATCTTTTTTTTAAGTTGAAATGTTTTTTAAACTTTATTATTATTTTTAATTATCAAAGTACCTATAAAATAAATAAAACTTATTCACAATAAAATTATAGAAATTATTTATATTTAATTTCATAATAATAATAATAATAATAATTTTATTATTTTTTATTATTATAAAAATATAAACTTATACTCAATGTTTTCAACAGTAATAGTAAATGAATCATCTCTATAACATATAACTATAAAGTGTACTCTATCTTATATAGGATATTTATTTTAACAATTTTTTATTTTTTAAATAAAAAGGATTTTGTATGTGAATTTAAAAGGTCATTTAGCCTCACTAATTAAAAAAAAACATTAATGATCACAAACCAAACAAATCATTCTTATTATACCATTAAGTGAATGTTTAAAAACATTTGTTATTAGAAAACTAATTGTTTACTTATTAACTTTCCTAAGATTAGTGAAGAGAAAAAACTACTGTTTGAAATTAAACAAAAATATATGTTACTATTTAAATGTAAAAAGGAAAATAAATTTTTAGTAGGTTTATTTATGCGTTTAGGTATCTTCAAATCAAAGAAGAGGAAGGTACGGAAACTACAGCTGGGTGGTAGGTAGTCTTTGAAAACTTGGTTCAATCCAAAATTATCAAAATCTATAACTTTTTTTATTTTTAATAATGCACTTCTTAATATAAATTTAATATTAAAATAAGAGTCTTATTTGATGTCTTGTTTTCACAATATGTTTTTGTATTATTAATAACTAAAATTATTTAAAATGTAGTTTTCAAAATATTTTTTATAAAGATAAAAAATATTATATAACTATAGTTTATGACTACCGGAACTTTTTCTTTAGTTTCGTACTACTATATTCTAAAATTAATTTAAATATATATTCCATGCATTTTGTATTGATTTAAAATTAATTTTCTTATTTACAATAAAGGTAGAAAATTTTTAAATACTATTTTAAGAAAAAAATTGTTTTACTTTATATATTCACGAGCTACCTAAGAAGCTAATAGACATCTAAACTATTATTCAGCTAAATTTTGAATTTGTGTATTTTGAATTGAATTTTTCCTGTAATTATCGTTATATAAAATTAACCAATTTTTTTTAACCATTATCCTTCAATTCAGAACTGTCACCTTTTCATATTTGTATAAAGTGTTCTTACTTTAGTGTGTTATTATTCTTTCTACTTCCTATATATTTTTTTGAACCTTTATCTAAATAGCACGTGCCTGTAAAAATATTTTAACATTAAGATGATAAAGATTTAAAAAAAATACGTAACTAATGAATAATACATATTTTAAATTTATATTATTTAGAATTGTTGATAAATTTGTATCTTAAATTTTAATAAGTTAAAGTTCTTGTTTAAATTGAAGAAATAATTTGAGAGAATAGGAAAAAACCGTAGGAAGTGAATTATTAGAATTAAGAGAAAAACAAATAAATAAATAAAAAGATCAATTTATTTATTATTAGTATTTCAATATTATTATTATAATAAAAATAAAGTTATACAGTTTTTAAAAACTGTATTAATTAACTTTATTTTAATTTTTATATTTTTTGTTTATTTTATCTTTCAAGATTGATTACTTCTTCAGATTTTGGGAAGGATTTGTCTGCAAGCAGTAAATATTTTATATCTTTTATGTTGAATTTCATTCTCAATTTATGAGTCTTTTCCAAGTTTTTTCTTCACATGAATACCAATAAGTCATAAATATCCACACTAATACAATGCATTATTAATACTTAATTATTTCATGATTTATGTAATATATTAGATTAAGAGGTCGAGAAGTTAAGATAGTATCCAATATAATGTCAACTTATAAAATGTGCCAAATTCAAATGAGAAAATTCAACTGAAAAACTAAACAAATCCAAAAATTCAATTAAAAAACCCAATTTTAAATGAAAAAAATTAAACCTAGTGAAGGTAAATCCAATCCTAAGAAAAACAAGTGTTTTTTTTTATTCTAAAAAACACAAAAAAGGTAGTTAATTAATTAATATAGTAAATGATAGTAACTAGAAAAGGGAAAATAAGCAAGAAGAGAACAATCTAGGCAAGAAAATCTAAACAAGTGTAGAGATATGCTGTGGTGGGGCCCACAAGAGCGCACTTTTTTCCTCTTCTATTTCTCTTTCTATTACCTCGGAGCAATGTCTGATGAGAATCCCTAGCTCATCTGTTCCGTTTTTTCTTCCGTACTTCGCTTTCTGATCACTGTTCGTTGCCCCATCTGGGTTCTTGCTAGATTTTTCTTTCAGATTCGATTCAGATTTTCCTTCTCTTTTTTCCCTTTGTGGGTGCAAATTGGGATAAGAAAAAGAAGAGATTTTTCGCTAAGATGAAGAGAGGGAACGACGATGAGAAGGTGGCGGGGCCAATGTTTCCGAGGCTTCATGTAAATGATGCAGAGAAAGGAGGGCCAAGAGCACCACCAAGGAACAAGATGGCCCTCTATGAACAACTCAGTGTTCCCTCTCAGAGGTTCAATCCACGCCTTCTGCCTCTCAAACCAAATTCATCTTCTAACCTAGCTGCTCCACCAACTTCCTCAACCCAGGTGAGGATTAGCTCCTGTGTATTTGTTCTTCATTCAATTTTTATTTTTGTTTAATCTAACTTGGAAAATGTTTGTGTTTTTGTGGTTTAGTTGCTTAACTTAAGCTTGAGATTTTTGAGAAAAAAAAAGTCTAACTTTAATTAGAGATAAAGAATTAAGATAGTATGTCATTAGGGGTAGCCTTTGTCTCTACTCAGTTTTGCAGGATTGGGTTAGGTCAAATCTCAAATTCTAAGATATTATGTTGGGTTTATCGAATCACCTCTTATCAGATTGTGTTAGGCTTTAATAAGGAATTTAGCAATTTAGGGGATTCTTAATGATGAACCTTTTTATGATATGCCTTGGAGTTTGTTGTTTTAGTGTAAGATTTGAAACAAATACACCTATAAATTGAGTTGTTTGGTGAAGGTTTGCAAATGAATTTGTGTTAATTTCTAATAAGTATCAATATATATTCAGGGAAGTGAGCATGGAAGAAGTTATGGTTACCCAGTTCGTTTACCTTCGCAAACACCTGCTCATCGAGCTGAAAGTTATATTTCTCGCCAATCTGATGGATCAAGATCAAACACTTCATCGGTGCAGCTAGAAAGGAGAAAGAGAGCAGATGATGATGATGTTCATGCATACATTTGCTCAAGGATTGGTCACTCTAATGATAAAGCGATCAATAGGAAAAAATTCACTCCTTTGGGTGGTAGTAATTTTCGCTCAGTTTCAGTGCAAAATGATGGTGAAAGAGATCCAGCACAGTTTGGTTCCCTTCCTGTTGACATGAGAAAGCATGTGAGGAGTGGGAATGAGACACATCCACATGTAAGCTCAAGTAGACAGCAACCAAAAATGTCTGTCAAAAACAAATCAAGTGGAGAAGTTATTGACAGTCTAGTGATGCAAGCCAAGGTGATTCCAAATCTAGAGGATCAAGATTGTTCTGTCCCAAGTATAGGCAGGTTACATCAGGATGGTGCTTGTCTACAGCAGGAGTGTGTGGCTGGGCCTCAATCCGGTGACGTTGATCTCCTTAACTCTACAAGGGATATGGATAATGGAAATGCCCTTGTACCAAAAAGCTGTTTTCATTCTGCAGTAAACCAAACCTGTCCAGTTGAGGTTACCGATGATGTTGATGTTGAATATCATGATGTTGGTACTGAAGGTCCATTACAGAAGGGAAATTTTGATGAAAGTGGTGATGTCTCGAAGATCTCCATGGTAACAAATTTATCAAGTCTGATAGTTTCTCCTGATGATGTTGTAGGGGTTTTAGGTCAAAAACATTTCTGGAAAGCAAGGCGAAAAATTGCCAAGTAAGTCATGTTGATGGTTAGCAGCAGGTTTTTCTGTGGTGTGGTTATTTCAAATTTCAATTATTTCCTCGTTAAATTTCTCACTGATTTATGATTCTGTTTTTCTACATGCTTCATCTGGATGGTATTTGTGATTTATGTATATTATAAAGTTATCATAGAAAAAAGTCAACTTGTTTCTAGGTTCGGGAGTATAGAATAAAACCCCAAGTTTGATTTGTCTTCTAATTTGATTATTCATATTTTTATTCCTTTCATATTGTTTCATGCATATTTGATATGGATATAATAAGGCTTGGTTTCTAAGCTATGTTAAACCTTTTCCCTATTGCCACTCAATGAAGGTATGTTTCCTTTCTCTTGTATCTAAAACTGTAGAACTGCATCGGTTTGGTTTATGCTTTACATCCTACACTAAGTAAATAACCTGTATATTTACATTTCATTCAAGGAGTAGCGAATGTGGCTCTGAAGAAAGAAAATCTGATCATCTTGGGGTCCCTTCTAAATTGGTTTTTTTGTATGTTCAAAGTTCTTAATAAATTTTTAATGGTGGATACTGGATCGTCTTAAAACAGGGTGGTGAGCAGTCTTAAAATATTGTACTGTGTCGAAGGGTTACCCTTATGACAGGCCGATAACTGATCATTTCACTCTTTGGAAATATTCATCTATTGGTTTCCTCTTACTTGGTTCTCCATGTTACCACTGGGGCGAGTTTCCTTACTGTACTGCTTGCCCTTGCTGCACTAAAGGACTTGGGCTAAGAAGGGGACTGAGAAATGCAGGATGATCCCACGGAGTATAGGGACAATTGAAGAGTATATGATACTGGGATGAGTTGTTAATAGATGTTATACTTATAACAAGGGGAATATTGCTCTTTTTTTCTTCTCCCATTTGTCAGTGTCTTAATTTCTGTGTTCAAGTTGGGACATTTAGCTTAAGTAGCCATATAATAGTTCCTATGCATGAGATATCTTTTATATGATTTGTTATCAATATGTCTAAAAAAGAAGATGGCTGTGTTACATTGCACGCTTTAAACTTCATGGTTGAGTGCAGTCTTTAACCAGAAACAACTAAATTACACAACTATTTCATATGAATTATGAAATTTGTTTGTCTTCCATTAGCTATATTCGTATTTGCCATCTGTATGATATTTTACTTGGCTCCTTCAAAGTATGAAACTATGTAAAAGTACTTTTACTTTAGAGGAGCTTTAACCATTTGGATGAGTATTGAGCAATTGCTGTGAGCTATATTCTTATGTGGCTCCTTCAAAGTAAGAAAGTGTGTAAAACATTTTTACTTTAGAAGAGTTTTTACCTTTTGGATGAGTATTGTGTAATTTTCTTGATTGAACTCCCATTCCTCTCTACAGTCAACAGAGAGTGTTTGCTGTCCAAGTGTTTGAATTGCACAGACTGATCAAGGTAAAGTTGATCCCTTCTGCTAGCCCGAAAGGGGAAGCGTGTTAACTTTTATTGCATGTACTTCCACACAGACATGGAGATTCACCCTTCAAGTCTGTGCATACACATTCACACATTAATTCTTTTTATTTAAACAGGTTCAACAGCTGATTGCTTCATCCCCAGATGTTTTGCTTGAAGATGGTGCTTTCTTGGGGAAATTTCCTCTGGAGGGGTCTACTCCTAAAACCATTTCATTGCAAGTTGTCGTAGATCCCAAGCAACAAACTCCTAAGCAGAAAAACAACTCTGAAAAGCAGAACCTTAAAACAGAATGTTCTGCTGAGAATGCTGTTGAGAAGAAAACCTCATTTTCGTCCCCAAAAAATGGTAGCCACATTACAAATCACACCCCTTTTTCAGGAATTCCACACCAGGCAGATGTGGCTTCCGATAATAGAACAAGTCCCTGGAGTTTCAATCAGTCACCTCAACATCAGTGGTTAATTCCTGTCATGTCTCCTTCCGAAGGGCTTGTCTACAAGCCATATCCCGGGCCTGCATTTACCAGAACGAATCCTGCAGGATGTGGCGGGCCATTCGGACAAGCTCCTCTAGGGGCTACTTTCATGAATCCTGCCTCTCAATTTCCAGCTTCTCATCAAGTAGTCGGGGTGTCACCATTTGTTTCTCTGCCCAACCACACCCACTTCTCCCCCTACGGCATGCCAGTAGTGAATCAAGCAGCATCAGGGTCAGCTGTTGAACACGTGAACCAGTTTGCCGGACAAGGTTCTCATGGTCAAAATGGTCATTCATCAGTTGAAGGAGCCAATTTTAACACTCAACATAACCAAAGCTCATCCAACTTGCCAGTTCAGAGGAATGGAGCCATGTCACATGTCAAGAAACTTCGCGTGTCCAAGGAGAGACGATTACAAGGGAGCACAGCAAGCACTCCTACTGAAACACCACAGGGAATCAGAGCAGGGAGCATTGCTGAAGGAAGTGATGCACGTTCTCTTTCTTTTCACTCTGCTGAAACCAGACAGCAAACACAAGTCATCAAAGTCGTTCCACACAACGGGAAATCCGCGACAGAATCAGCTGCTAGAATATTTCAATCCATTCAAGAAGAGAGAAAACAGCATGATTTAGTGTAGTCATGTTTATGGTTCTGTTCTGCTTCAGAAATGTGAAAGTCAAAAGCTATAAATACTAAACTCTGTTGGAAGTGAAAATGGGACGTGTGTGTTGTCTAAATGTGGCACAAGACGGGCTTCGAGATGAGTTTGTACAGTGCGTCAAGTCCTGTACTTTGTTGTTGTTTTACTATATGTATCTTGCAACTTTATTAAACTTTTTTCTGTTGTTTTTGTCGTTGTTACAGCATATTCGTTTGTAGATATTGTTGTAACTATGTGGAATGTTAAAAATAATCAAATGCAATATTAGTGTATGTTGTCTCCCTGTGCACTACATTTTCATTTTACTCGTTGAAACTGGTTTGCATTAGATTGGAATGTGGATACTGGTGTTTTTCACAGTTAAATAGCATTGTGTTGATGCAAAAAATTTATAGAGAAATGTTACCAAATTATTCAATACATTATCTCATATAACATGTAATTGGTTGAAGCATTAATTATGAATAAGTTAAGGGCACTTTGGATTTCTACCAGGACCCCCATAATAGAATTGAGGATCATCAATGTAATCTGACATTAACCAAACATCATAGCAATTATATTCATCAGAATAATCATAGACCAATTCTGGGATTTTCAAGACGTCAGAATTGTCATGAATTCTCATTCTTGTTATTGCAGATGAAAAAGACAAAACTGAAGCAAATTGGCCATTGCCCATTTGTGTTGCTGTGTGAGGAGTTTGTCCAATAGTTGTACTGTAAACTTCACCACCCCACTCCACAGATTGTGCATTGTAAAGTATTGTTTCAAACAACTCCGGTGGCCAATAACCTATGTTCGTCTTCTCACCATATTGCACCCACCAATTGTTGGTATAGGGATCCTAATGCAAATCAAAACCATAAAGAAAAATAAATTAGAAAAAGTTTATCTTTTATACTTTAACAACTCTCAGGAATTTAAGTGTTGAGTGGAGATGAGTGAATTGAATAATATATATTTTAAGGGAAAATATTATATTATTTCCCTTAGAACGAAACATATGACTAACCTTAAAGATGTAAATTGTTATTACGTATGGAAGGTCACCAGGAATTGAGATTGGATATATAGCAGCACCCAAGGCAATCTCATTGCTGGTCTGAATAAACCCAGGACAAGTTAGATCAAAGCAACCACTTTCCCTTGAACCATCAGCCTGCAAAAGATGCTGTTTAAAATTACCAGTTCCAAAATACTAGGACAAATTAATAAATTTTTTCAATAAATCTAAAGTTTAATCGAAATATTTTTTACTTTTTGTAATTTTTTCTGTTTCTTGTGCATCTAAAATTGAAAATAACTTCTTTTTAACACAATTCACTATACATAAATAGTACATTTTAATATATTAGGTTAGAATTCAGTTCTCGAATTCTGAGTATGTTTATCAATTAGTACGTTTCGATTTATTTATTTTATCTGATATACCAAAAACAGCTTGGACAATAAAAATGAGTGTATCGAAATAAAATCTACATTATTTTATAGAGATTAAAAGAATTGAAATATAACTAAATGAAGAGCATCACTCTTATTTTGATTTGGTAGATAGCTAAGTTGAATTTTAGGGTTGATGGAATTGCAAAACTGACCGTCCAGTATACAAACAATCGAGTTTGTCTATCTCCATATACACTGGGATTCACCTGTTGCAAGTTTATTGTATAAAGAGAGAATAAATTAAGTAAAAATTTGAAACCACATAACTTGAGGTGTTCAAACATGAAAATCTACAAAGAATATAATAAGTTTTTTAATGATGCAAAAGTGGTAGAATATATAAGTGTGGTTTTTTAAGTAAGAAAGATGTATAAAGAGAGAAATTCTTACTGCCCAACCAGATTGAACACATTCAAAGTCATTGTGTGGGCCTGTTAAGAGAGCGACTTGAGTAGTGCTGTATTCATCATCTTTTTCAACAAAAGGGTTGCACACTCTCAGGTCTGCTTTTCCTCCCAGATAACGGTAACCGACTGTAAACAATATTGCCTTCTGTTTCACATGTCAAATCACCACACCAAAACAGTTACTTCTTTCTTTCAACTACAACAATACCATGCTTCAAACCTTCCAAAAACTGGATATAACAACTATTATTTGCACATTAATTATTACTAATTGGTAGAAAATATTTGATCTACACTTGAAAAAGATAACAAAAGTAAAGTTATAGGTACTGAGAAAATAACAATCAGAGGTGTAAAAAGTTGTTTAACAGAATAGACAAAATATGATACTATTTTAGAAATGACATAAAAGTTGTGATTGTAGTATTCAAAAGTGCAACCAAACTTACAGAGTGGTTTTTAAGTTGAACAAAGGAATCAAGATTCTTATTCACTTGACCATGTTGATGGTGAGAGAAGCTTGGCTTCTTCCTTCCATATTCTTCAATTGAATGAGCCTTCAGTAGCTCTCTTTTTCTTATTCTTCTCACTGCTATTGTTCCCTTTGGACATTTTCCACTTTTCTGCCACACTTGTGAAGTCACACTCAAAGATTCATTCATCATTTTTCCACTCTTTGAATTGTTTCCATTTCTTGAAGTTCTTGATCCCGATGTTACCTCCTCTTTGGCTGAATTATGAGTAGGAGCCATCTGATATAATTTTATATATAAAAAGCATTTACGACGAATAAAAGAAAAAAAAATATTTAAAATTATTCTTAAATTCATTTTTCTCAGATGATATTGGACTATTAAATAAAAATAATAAGATAAACAACTCTTACCTGAATTTTGTGATCCTTCAATGCAGGATGATCAAATGCTGGTTGTTTATTAATATCAATACAATCAATTATATCCCCATCTTCACTCTACAAACATGAAAAAATAGTGTTATAATAAATCAAAATTTAATTATGTGTTTAGTCTTTAAAAAAAACCAAAAGCATTTTTCTAGTCTGCAAAATTATAAACATAAGTAAACTTTAACTTTGTATAATGATAATAATCATTAACATAGTAAAACATTATATATCTCACTATAAAGTATATGATATTCTCTGTTATATATCTGATTTGATCGTCAATTACAGAACTAATTAGGTGTTTAACAAACATTAAGAAAAGCCCAATAGAAGGATGATTAAGATATATTTAATTACCTCGATAGTTTTTAAGGAATGTCTTCTAAGATACTTTAATTTTCTCTCAACTTCCAAAATCTTGTGTCTTGATAGAGAGCCACCATGGACTGTGATTAGCAGCCATAAGAGAATGAACATTGTGGATCTCATGGCAGAAAAGTGGAACACTTTTCTCATTCAAAATTCAATTAGCAATGATAATTTTTGTATCTTGCAAATTGAGTTGCAACACTGAAATTGAAGATATATGCAATTTATTGAAGTGAGATCATGAATTATAGACATTAATGGTTTAACTATAAGTTAGGTAGTGATGTCTGCATGAGTTACCGTCTGAGTCATTCAACTTATGTTTACACCATGAATTCATCATTTATATACCTATGCAAAAAATAGATGATGCATAGGTTCATTTAGTAATCACGGGTGCAGAAAACAAAAACCCACAATTAGTTCAGGTGCTCGTGGATCAAGTGGACTCAAGTTTGGTCTGGCCCACTCATGAGTTTGAGGTTTTTTTTTTCTTTAGACTTGCTATCATGAACCCAATTAACATAGTTGACTTGTCATTAATGCAAAATGTTTAAAGTTAATCAACATGCACATTTTAAGAAGTAAACCTTTTAAAGCAAAAAAAATATTATATATTTCCTACAAATTACATCAAAATAAAAATATGTAAAAGTAAAACTTATTTCTTATAATTATATCAAAATAAAAATATTATTATGCTACACATTATTAATTTATACTAAGAGGTTGACTAACTTTTTTTCTTCTTCTTGATTACATAACAATTATAAATGTTAAAATATTAAATGAATTATTTTAGTCTAAGAGTGAGAGATTTGAAATATGACTCCAATTTCAATTCAACCATTTGTTTGTATGTTTAGATGAGCTGTAAATTTGATTTTGGTTAATAATTGGTTTAAAGTGGAGTGATTTTGGAAAATAATATTACTTAAGCATGTATATCAAAAATACTTTTAAACATATAATTGGCAAATAAAATATAAGAAAATAGTTTTAATATTATATTGGGCTTAAATCCATAAATGTATGATAAAGGGACGACAATTGCAAAATTCTAAAGCTATAAAAACCAAAATCAAAATTAAGAGAAAATATTATAAATTGAATTTTCTTTTGTCTAGGCATATGCAACTACCTTCTGCCTATAAAAGGTGAAACAAGAGAAACTGTCACCTCTATTAAAATCATATATAGTTACAAAATTTTGTTATATAATTTTGTTATATAATTTTGTTTAATATTTTGACCTTTTTTTTTTATATAGTCTGTTTGTAATGACTCAAGATGAATTTAATTTTTCAAACATCATTCTGAAATACTCCACTATTTTGTTACGTAGAATTTATTAATTTGAATGAAGAGGTTCAACAATCACCCTTTTTTTCCCTTTGAGGAAATATAATATAATTTTCATAAACATATCTTGAATTGACCTATTTAATTTTTTTTGTATGGGATGGATATTTAATCTATAAATCTGTTTATGTAGTATTATAATATATATATATATATATATATATATATATATATATATATATATATATTATGATAAATAATGTTTAAGTGAATGCATGTTTGGATTGTTTTAATTTTTCCCTTCTAAAACTATTTTGATGTTAGTGATCTACCGATAAATAAAATGAGATACGTTAAATTAAAAATTCCAACTTCTTTTACGAATGAGAACCAATATGCAAATTACTTCATTTTATCTAACATCTAACTAATTTATCTTAAAAAAAATTCTACCAATTTAAAATAATATGTTTTTAGTCTCTAAACTATTGGTCGGTTTTCGTCCCTATTTCAAAGTAAGGTACAATTTGGTCTTCATTATTTTCGAACAATAATTTAGAAACTAAAAACATATTTAATCCTTTAAAATATGACTCAGTTTACGAACAAATCTAACAATAAATCAAATTCATCATTTACTTTATTTTAATATCCTCCTCACCCTCTCTTTTAAATATATATTTTACACTTTATCCCAGTCAATATTTCTCTTTTTCAACTATTTCATACTAATATTTTTATACTACAAAAATTATTGTATTTAATTGGAGTTATTTTTTGTGTTTGAAATAGTTTTAACCCTTATTAAGTGCAATAATTAAAAATATCTTATATACATCATTGTA